GATCCTTCGAATGTATCATCTTTGGAATAGATTATATTCTCCAAAAGCCAAGAAAAGTAAGTTTAATCTTACTCCAATTTTTATAGGACCATGAGTTGGAATTCTCCAAGCAGGATTATTCTACCCAGAAGGGTCATGAGTGCAGAGTGAGAATAAGGGGGAACGGATCCATTTAGGACTGTCGTTTCCATATTACCCAAAAGGCACACTGAGGAAGATCCAACTTTAAAATCTCCTCTCCTTTCCAAATCTGGTGATCAAAGAATACCTACTGCACTGTGACACTATAGATGCCCACTGAAGTTTAAACAATAGCTCTTTGAATGTTGTAGAAACAGGCTACCAACTCAATATCTTAAGATGTAAGGATGTATATGTATGGTTATTTGGTTGTTGCTACAAATCCTATATTTTGAAAGGACTGTCTGCTCCTATCTATAGCCATTTACTATTTAGATTTAATATTGTCATCTTTAGCTTCTATTATAAAACATACTACCATTTAACTTCTCTATCCATATACCACTGAAAGTTTAGGATTAGCTTCAGTAATGTTAACACTGATGAAACAGCCCTCTTCTTTTTTTTTTTTTTTAACCTAAAAGGTATAATTTTTTACATTTTAATTAGTGAGGCTGGGGACCCTCCATGATATGCGACTTCTCACGTAAAGAAACTGTGATCAACTCCATTAGCTCCCTGGGCCAGATAACATTACAACCACAGACCACAGCCTCCCACCGTTAACTGGCCTAAATATTCAGGCAGGGGCCCTGGAAATGAATCACACAGCCTGTAGCGTGCATCTGGCTATCAGACATGGAATGAAAACTTCTCTGAGTGGATTACAGAGTCGATTTCAACGAAGCACAAATAACTTGTCACGGGTAAAAGGAATGAAAAGAAAAGAGGAGCAAGAGTTTATAATTAACTAGAAGAAGCCCATGCAAATTAAAACGAAAACAAAATGACATCCCACAGTCCATCTGAGCTATTTATATGTTATATATGACATACGTATGCATGTACAATTATAACAGTGAAAATATACTTATAGTGTTTTTCCTTTATGCTTCTACAACATCCCAGCCATCTCATTTTTACTGTGTAATTTACCTTAGCATTTACACTGAGCCAGGTATGATGTATGTGACTTCAATAAAAGGCATCATGTTTTTTTTCTTTTTTTTTTTAAAGGCATCATGTTTCAATAAACATTTTGCAAAACAACCTAAAAGAAATGCTACCAGAATGAAAATCTAGAGTATAATCTGAGATGAATATATGGACAGATGTCTGCATAGTCATTTGCACTGATAATTCTGTCAGGGAGGAGTCTTGCGAACAACAAGGGGGAAAATGTTTGCAGGGGTAGCTTTTCTGCAAAACCGGCAAATCCCCAGAGGAGGCACTCGCGTATTGCTGGTTACAGCTAAATGTGCTCTGCTTGTCAGAGGCTGAGGAGATGGTCACACACAGGACTCTGATCACATGTCTTTTTCCTTGTCCTCAGCTCCCCTTTATCCCCCCATTTGGAAGCAACGGATTCCTTTACACCAAGGAGAAAAGCTCCCATCACAATCCCTTTGCAACACGCTAATGTGTGTTAGTTATTTTAGAAGTTCCTGAAGCTCCCATTTTAAACTAAGGCTCTGAAGCCTTCCAACCAAGCAAAAAAATGTTTGTGTGCGCGTGTGAGAGAGAACCATGATAGGATACAAACCCCTAGCACAACAAATGCAAAACCTTGTGAACTCAAGGAAGCTTAAGATCACTGAGGCATAAATACTCACAACACTAAACAATCTATGGGCTTTTACTTTATAAAAGATTTCTGAAAGACGTGACAAAGTATCTGACTCTATGCAGAGAAGTTTATAACAGCTTTGCCGTCAAATTAACTACAGTGCTGAACGATAGGGAGACCAGCAAAGAAATCATGCCTGAGGAGACACAGTGGGGTTGGTTTTTTACATCTAGGGAAGGCTGAACAGTAGCCAAAACTCAGTATGCTCCCCACCCTGTCTTTTTCATTGGACACTAAAAACTAGAGTCAATTCAAGGGTAAACTGCAGTAATACAGATGCTTTACAATTCCCCTTTTATAAAAAAGGGAAAAGCTCTGTGCTATTGTATCAAAAGTAGACTTAAGGAGAGTTGTGAGCCTGTCAGCTGATTGTTCACACAATTCCAATGACCTATCGCAGCCCTTAATTACAATAATATCTCACGTTGTAAGCGCACAATGCCCTTCTATTAAAGCTGCAATCCGAAATACCTTTTTGTAGGGTGATGGTCTGCACTACTGACTATTGTTTTATTTTTCTGTCCACAGACATTACCAGATAAGACTATTAACACTGAAGGCCACCTAATTGCTTTTCCCACTCCACTCCTTATTAAACACTAACCTATAAGCAAGACTTCCACAAAGTTGTCAGTTTCGCTACGTGGTCTTGATTCTTTTGCATTTTCATTCATACTATTCCAAATAGCCCTAAAAATGAAGAAACTGATTCTTGATGTATTTTCCTGTCACATACCGTAACAAGAGCTTGGGTAAACATAAAGTCTGACTAGTTCTTTGGGGAAAAAAAAGTAATTCCTGGTGAGTTACTGAAAGCCTCCTAACGTAATTACTTTTTTTCCTTAGCTCCCCCCCCCCCCCCGCCCACCAACTTGTCTTTATAAAGACACAAACTATTTAGATGTTGCTGGCAGTGAATCAATGCAAACTTTCCTTTAAAACACGGGATGTTACCGCCCCTAAACTCTTTTAAAATGTGTCCTTTTGTGCCGTGAACCTGATCTTTTAAATGTACGCTTGTCATAAAGTTCTGTTTATCTACTTCTGTATGGAAAATGATCTGCTGAACACCTGTCTGGTTACAGGAATTAGGAAGGATGGCTCCTACTTAAAGATATTTCACTTCACTCATCTAATAAAAGGAAGATATTTCTTGCAACATAAGTATATTCACGGTTCAGTCTGCAGATCTCCAAAGCCTTGAGACACCCAGTCCTTGATTTCTTCACAGTTCTCAACTGCCCAAGGCTGGGTGAACTCACGGCCAATCTTTTACTCACCTGAACTATATCTATGAAATCCGAAAAGGTTAACGATCTACAACGTGAAGCCAATACAGACCAAAGGTCCCTTCTCATTAATCCACGCAGGGAGGTTGGATACCGGCAACTAGCCGCTTAGCAGGTGCACCCACGAAGACGTCCACCGCGCATTCAGAGAAACAGGGTGCCCTTTTCCCAGCGCAAACCTAAGGTACAGCCAGGCGGAGGGGAAGCGGGGGCGCCGAGCAGAGGCAAGCCCTGCAGACGCACCGTCGCAGCAGAATACTAATTACAGGCAAGAGCAAAACACCCTTAGACGAGTGGCACCTTCTCCAAAGGTAAAAGGAGTCCAGCGTGGACGGCTACGAGGACTCCCGTGCACGCCGGCGCACACCCCCTTCCAGTCTCAGACCGCCGCGCAGCCGGCGGCCCCGCCAGCGTGGAGACCTGCCCCCCGCCCCTGCACCCCAGGTCAGCGGCGGCCCACTCGCGTCCCTCCTGGAGGACGGCGGTCCAAGAGTCCGGCCTCACCGCTTCATCGGGAGCGTGCGCGGATCCGCTCTCGCCCCGAACTCGCCAACACGCGCCGCCCCCGGCGGCGGTCGGCTCGGGCTCTCGGGGGGGGCGAGCGCCCGCGGCTCGGTACGCACGTCTGTGCTGCCCCGCCGAGCCACGTCTCCCGGCCGCACAGCGGAAACTTGGGGACGCCGAGGGAAACTCCGCACGGATCCCCCCACCGCCCGCCTGCTGCTCACCGCCGAGTCCGGCCCCCGGAGGCGCACGGCGAGGGCGCGCGCTGCTGCCCGGCGGCGCCTTCCCCGACCCCGCGCGGGCGGACGCACTCACCTGGGGCCTCGCTGCCCTCCCGGCGGCGTCCGGCGCCAGCGACCCGGCTGTTGGCATCCGAGAGGGCGCGCGCTCAGCGGCCGGGCGCCCGCGTGCGCTTCGGGACCCAGT